TACATAAACAATAATTACATTACAAAAGCTGAAGAAGATTAGTCTTTTTAACATGGTATAAAAAATAAGCCCTATTTTATACTTTGACTGTAATGACGTACATGCAAAGTATTAAAACGAAAACGGTTTAAAAGAATATTTGCGTTAATTATATTTCCTTTTACTAAAACTTAATTAAAAATACCTAATATTTTTTAAAAAATGGAAATACAAGAAATATAAGCGGCTTAACTTGAAAAACTGACATAAAAAATTGAAAAAAATTAAAAAAATCTTTACAGCAGCTTGTAAAAATGCTCTTTAATGTACTTTATCCTTCCCATCAATTCCGTCTTCTATGCTGTGTGCCATATTTCTTTTGAGGTCTTGTCAAAGGACAGTTTTATGAAAGCAAAAAGAAATTATAATTTTTTTTCTGAGCTTATCATCAACTTGACTTGCACCGCTAAATACGTACTAACCTTGACAAATTTGCCTTGCCTTTACACCGAAAAAAGTAAGTTAAGCGATTGAGTGTGTCGCACACGTTTCAGCAATTTTCCTTCCATTTGCTCATTTCCCCATTTAAGTAGCCTCAGTGCCCTTTTACTTGCACAGCACTAAATCCAACAAACCCCAACAAACCCCAAACCATACAGCCCACACATCGAAACCAAAACCCTGTAATACACATAAAACCCATTTAAAAAACAGCAGAGCAAAATTTACGTTTGCACTACTGTGCCTATTTCGGGGATTTTTCTTTTTTTTTTTGTGAATAACAACCTGACCTCCATTTTTTTTTGTACTTCATCCAACATACTTTTTTGTTTTTGTATCTGTTTGTAGTGCAGAAAATGGCCAAAAGAAAATTCTCTTTGTTAATAGTACATATTTTTCTCTGTATCATTTAAGCAGCATGTATTTTGTTATGTGCTTTTTTATAGACTCGTCGTACTTTCACTAAAATTTTAATATAAAATAGATAAAAATAAAAACAATAAGAACGAAATTGCTTGCAAGACGATATTGACCAACTTTTATTTTATTTTATTTAATTTCATTTTATTAGAATTTTCAGTGTCAACGTTCGGCGCCTATTTGTCGTTCACACTGTCATTTGCTGATAGTTGTCTAATATGCGCGACCCGGCCGTCCTCCCAGTCTCAAAGCCCAGTGTCTTGTTTGGCTCTCGTTGTTGTGGTTATTGTTAGCAACTAGGTGTGCACATTTAATTGGCAATGAAAAAGTTTTAAAAGAGCTCAATTGGCTACAAAAATACTGCTAAGTGAAAGCAAATGAGAAACATTTAAGGATAACTGTGAGGTAATTAGCAATAAGTTATTGGAATAGAAACTAATAAAATATAATATTAATTACAACTGAGAATACTAAAAACTTAATAGCTAATAGTGTTAATAGTAGTTCAATTTATTGTTTGCTTATAGATCATTTACTATAATAAATTGCAATAAGAGAAATTTGTTCTGAAAATCCAAATAAAATAGATCAAGGTTTCGTTTAGTTTTTATTCACTGCTCCAGTACAAATATTAAAGTATTCAAGTATATAAGTATATAATGATGAAAGGGGACCGAAAAATCGTTACCATTTTTCAGGCACAGGTACATGCTTTAGAGTTATGTGCAAAAGAGTACCTATGCAGGAGTACCGAGGTACCAAAATATGCATTTATTCTCAACCAAGCAGCTCTAAAATCTTTAGCAAACTCTTCAATCCAAGTAAAGTTAGTCTGGGAATGGTTCCAACTTCTCAATACTATAGTAACGAGGAACTATCTGACTCTTATGTGAGTACCGAGACATGAATGGCATAATGGCAATGAAATTGTAGACTCCCTAGCAAAGAAGAGTGCATGTACTCCTTTCATTGGTCCAGTGCCCTTCTGTGGGGTAACAATTAGCTTTACAAATAACTTATTATATGAACGGAAGAAACAAAATCTACTTGAATACTGGAGAGTTTAAACAGGCATGAGGCAGTCAAGAAGATTCATTGATCCTGAACATGTCAAAGTAGACCCTATCCTTAACCTTAGCAGAAACGATATTAAAATCCACACTGAAATTCTTGCAGGACATTGTAGACTCAATCACCACACGTAGAATATAGGTGCGGTAGAAAGTCAGTCCTGTCGGTTCTGTCATGAAGAGAAGGACACATTAGAACATCTGCCCAGCGTCGACAAGACGTCGACTTGATTACGTTTAATGGAGGATCTTACTCCCAAATCAAATAGGTAAAATTAAGCCCACAGCAATTAGAAGATTTATAAATATTCAAAATTTGTTTTAGTTGGGCCTTTAGGCGCACAAAGATCTTTTAGGTCGGAGTTCATTCATAGCTTATTATTTAATAATAATGATAGTACGATAGTATTTTAAAAATATAACAGATTTATCTACAACTTGATTTAATAAGAGCTTAAATTAAAAGTATCGAATATTTTCTCTTATGGCATTACAGTACATACTTTATTGATAACAAACATATAGGTAGAAGTATTATTTATTAAAAATGACATAATTTAATAAATATAACAGATTTTTTCCAAAAAAAAATACAACTTGATATAATAAGAATTTGAATTGAAAGTATCTTTGTATGTTAGATAAACGAAAGTAAACAGATTGAAAAGTCACAGTATAAGAACACAACAAAATTTGAAACCACAAGCTGTTTTTAATGAACCTAAAACAAATATGAATGCAGTCTTGTGAATTACTTTAAAGTGTTTTATTAAATCAGTTTCTCTATTATATTATAAACTTTTTTGAAAATTAAACTCTGAAACAGAATATTTTGCTGATAATTTGGTCAGAGTAATGAAATTCATTGAAACGAAGCCTGAAATTAAGGAAAATTTCAGATGCAACTATGAGAGATAAATATGTCACGGCATAATATACTTAAGATCGTTGCGTAAGTTGTATAACTTTTACAAATAAACAGATATAGTTTTGCAAATTATATCTAACTTGTAAACTAGGGTCTTACCATATGTAAAACTAATAAAAATTGAATAAATAGAGAAACATCAGTAAATAGTACCTTCGTAATTACAAGCAATTAGAAAAATATTACAGGAATAAGTACTGGCATCACGCATCAATTAATTTCCCTGTACCAAAGAGACATCAATTTTCTGTTACTTTGTAACTTATTTATTACAGGTAAACCTACAATAACCCAGTTTCTCAACAAACTATGTTTATTTTAATCTGAAAAATGATTGAAGTGAGCGGAAATTGATCGGTATTATTAGATACCGATATTATAGATATATACGATATATTAAAGATTATTTAAATTGATCTATCTATCGTCATGATAATCGCGAAGAGAAACAGTTAAACACGAATTTAAATTTATTAAACCTCTATGTCTAATCTGTCATTCATTGACTTCACTTTCTGATATATTCCAAATTTCTATATATAACACTATTTTATGTTTATTTTTTTAATTTCTTTTCTGCTTAATGTTTTCTTTCTCATAACCATCTAGGTAAATGAGGAAGTTAAATATGTTACAAATATATATGTACTATGTATATATCTACAGTATTGTAAAACATCACATTGAGTTTTTAGCAAAATCATGTAATTCATTCAGTAGTTATGGAAATACAAAATGATTTGTGAAACCAATAGAGTAGCTGAGGAGTTACTTTAACATAAATTACAAATGAGTAAACCTAATCTACTTCAGTGCTTATCTATACAACAATAATTGTTATTAAATCCACAACAAGATTAATTTGACTATTAGTGAGGTTTATAAGACAATCTCATTAACTAGAATTTAAGAATACTCAGTTTTCATATCTATTTTTGCAATTTTTTTTTTTAAATGGAAATGTTGAACTATAATTGGAATGCGATTTGCCTTGAAGATTGTACAGATAGCAGAGAAGATTTTTGAAGTTTTATGCTTAACTGAGAGCTAAGGATGGCAATGAGTAAGTTAATTTCCCAGTAGTAAATTTTAATAAGGAATCGGAAATGGATCATATACAAATATTTAGATATTATTAAATTCTACGTGCAAATTGATGAAGCTTAATCTAAATGATTAATAATTTAAATATAATTATTTATTTGTTTATTTTTTTATTTTTAGAAAAAATTAACACAAATAAAAAAATTACCCAGTTTTATGTGTGAGTTAACTACCCAGTAATAAATTTTTATGAGAATCCTAAACAGATTATATACAAATATTTACAAATAGTCAAACTCTTCATGCAAAATTATAGATGTGAATCCTTTAAACGTAGTTATTATTTTTCTAGGTTTTTATTTTTAGAATAAATAAAAAAATATATTTAAAATTATTAAATATAGAATAACAATAGAATAACAATTAGAATAACAATAAGGATAAGGATAACAATAAGTAATTCAGCGTGTGAGTTGACTACCCAGTAGTAAATTTTCATGAGGCATCCTTAAAATATCATAAACAATATTGAAAAATCATTAAACTCTTTATGCAAAGTGATAGAGGTGAATCCTTTAAACATAATTATTATCACTTTACGTTTTCATTTCTAGAATAAATAAGCTTTAGTAGAAGTATATATTTCATATTATTAAATATATGTTTTTTTGCCAATTATTACGTTTAGAATTTTGCTACCATTTTACTGAGCTTAAGGTGAAGGTCGCTCGTTTTATGGTTTTCTATGTGTTTGGTAACACTGAATCACCAGCTTCATTGACATTGACATTTGTTAATAGAAAATTGTAACAAAAAAAAAAACAGAAAGCAGAAAACAAACTTTTGCTTGTTATAAGTTGGAAAATAATATGAAACCATCTTAGAACTTTTACCAATAAAACTACGACTTGGATGCAATTGTTATTGAAATAAATTAAAAAAAATATTTTATGTGTATATAAAACCCCAGTATACAATTGTAAATGTTCGTTTTGTTATTTAAAATGTAATAAATAAAATTTTTAATTATAAAAAATAAATTTACATTTGCCACTTACCTTATCTGATGGAATTGTACGTGACATTTTTTGTGTAATCAGTGCACTTCCACCGCTGTTGACAACAGCTGGAGTAACGGTACAAGTGGCAGCATTTGCTGAATTTCCTATAACAGTTACTCCAGTGGCTGGAACCAAACCGGAACTGGAGCAGCAAGATGATGAGGACGAACAGACAGATACGTCTGTATGGCGCTTAATGCTGTTTGGCGTTGTATTGTTGGTATTGGTGTTGTTATTAATGACTGTATTGGTAACGGCAGCTATGGAGGTCGACAATGACGTTGTTGGCCTTGCTGCATACTGCGAATACGAATGCAATTGATGCACAGCGGCCGAAGTAGATGCCGAAACGGAAGGTGATGAAGATGTGGAAGAGGATAAGGTCAAAGATGAATGGGTGGATTGATTATGATTTTGTATGATATTGTTGCCAACATTTGTATTGTTCATATTGTTTGTTATTGGTGGTGCTGGTGCTACTGCTGCTCCATCAGAATTTGAGTTAGTCGATGATGACGAATGAGTGCGTTTAGTGATGGCATGATTGTATGCAGTGCCAGAATTAACAACAATTGCGGTTGTTGTATGTAGGTGATGATTTTGATTTGGTTGCAATGGACCCGTTGGAGATGTTGGTGTTTCGACAGACGAGGTGGTCGACATTTTTTTCCTTTTGTATTCAAATTTATTATATTTGCTTTTATAACTTTGTAACACTTTTTTAATTTTAAGTTAACACTTTATTTATAATTAAAAAGTGATATTAACCGTAGTTTTGATGAGATGCACTAAGTGGCAACTGATAAAAAGTTATAAAAAAATAAATACTTTTTTGGAATTTTACTTAAACTTATTTTCGAACATATTAGCAGTTACGTTTTTTAAATTTATGAAATAAAAACTGATGCCAATGTATTTGAAAAAGAAAAAAATATATGTATTTCCTAAACAAGGCCTATTATGATTTTTTCTAATTAATTAAAATGATTTGATAAAAATTATATTAAAAAAAAACAAAAAATATTATTAAAAAAAAAAACGAAATACGTTAAATTATGCCAATTTATTTGAAAAAGGAAAAATTATATATCTTTTCTAAACAAGGCCTATTATGATTTTTTCTAATTAATTAAAATGATTTGATAAAAATTAGATTAAAAAAAAAACAAAAATTATTATTACAAAAAAGCAACGAACATAATTAAAAAACAACAAAATTCGTTAAATTATTTATTTTAATTTATATTGTTATTTTGTCTTATATTTGTCATTTTATATAATATATTTATTAGTAATTAAGTAACCATTTAAACAAAATTAGATTAGGTAAGGTTAACCGGCGATTCATAAGGGTTCAACTTAAGCCTATTGGCCCATTATGTTGCCGTAATCAAAATTAAATATATATAATATTTAATTTTGTATGTAAATATTTTTAATAAAATATTTTGCTTTGAGCAAAATTATTTTTAATGGAAAGTAGCCTAGAAATGTTTATTTTATTGATTACTTTTATTTTTAATAAATAAAGTGACAAAATTTTAATAAAAATTACTTCTTCATAATTGAAGAAGTGAAGCGTTTATGCGTTCTAAGGCTAAGTTTTAAGTTTTTTAATTGAACTAAAAACTGAATTTTTGATTTAAAAAATAAACAATTGGAAGACATTGTATTTAATTAACCCAATTTTGTAATATAAACTATTTTTAGAAATTATTGTGTAACAAAACATCAACTTTGCTTTGCTGCACTTGGCGGCATTGAAATCTTGAATCTGTGGGCGTTTCACACAGTAGCCTAGGAACGTAGAAAGTGTTGGAAAATATGTTTAAGTAAAAAATTTTTAAATATCCTTTAATTTTTTTTGTTATTTATTTTTTTCGTTGGTTAATTTTGGTTATTTTTCTTTGCACAAAGGTCATAGTATATTCGTAAAGCACACACAACAATTTCTATTTTGATTTTGTTGATTTCTGCATCGATTTTTTGTTGCCCATTTTTTATGTTTTTTTTTTTAATATTTGGTATTTGTTGGGCTCACTCATATTGCACACAGCAAAACAAAAACAAAGGAGAAAAACACAACAAAAACCTGATTTTCTCTGCTGGTTTTCTTGCTCAACAACTTTTCTCTCCCATTCAACTTTTTTCAGTAATAAAAAATTTTGTTAACTTTTTAACTATACAACTTCAAAACATAAACCTCGTTATTTTATAACCAAACTTATTCAATTTTCCCCAAAACGTATATATTTTATAAAATTATTTTTGTTTTTTGCAACATTTTGTAAGTCAATATTTTGAAATTTTTCGATTTGTTACGGGTTGCACAAGTAATTTTCATTTGGTGTAGATAAGAAAAACAAACCACTCGAGTTTAAATAAAAAAAACACGAATTTACTTTTATTATATTTAAAATAATTTTAAAGCATATTTAATTTTTTGTAAATAATTCTTATTCATGAATTTTTACTTTATTTTTTAATTTTTCAATTAGAAATTCCTATTGGAACTTACATTCATATCAAAATTGTACAAACCACCATCAACACAAACGAGATCCAACCCGACACGAACGAAGTTGAAAACAGACTGAAAATTATTTTCACAATGTTTTTTGATTGTTTTGTTATTGTACTTGTTCTCTTTAGCAGAAATGACACTACAATGTTTTGAACTTCTCACAACACAAAAATTACACAATTTGTATATCTCATAAATTTCATTAAATTTGTATATTTCAATTTGTATTTCTTAATAACTTTAAATATTTTTACGGTAATTAATTCGGTGATTATATTTTACAAAGAAATCTTTGATATTTTATGAAAACATGTTTTTTGCTGTGTTTAGTTACAAATTTAATCTTTGCTGTTTGTATGATTTACTTTTTAAACGAGTTGAAACTCGATAATAATTATTATGTTTATTATTTTTAGTTTTATATTTTTTAAATACTTTTATGTAATTAGTAATAATATGTTATATATAAAATTTACAAATAAAGCAATTTTTTCCTATTCAAAATAACTTATGTCAAATTAATAAAAAAGTGCTGCCACCACTTACATATACATGTGCCATCTGGCGTGATAATTAAGATATGTTTGAATTGTATGGAATTCTGTAACAAAAATTTATATCACGAATATATGCACAAAAAACATTTTTATTTGTAATATGAATTATTATATAACAGTTTTGTTATTAGAGTAAAATTTTTATATGAATTATAAGTGCAAGAAAAAGAGGAATGTTGATAAAATTATTTGTTCTATTTTATTTAATATACATTTCTATATTATGGCAAAGTGACCAATTTTTAATTAATTAAGAACACTTGTTTTAAGTGTAGTGTTTTTATCTAGTGTTTTTATTCTTTAAGCACTGGATATTAATATAACAAAGTTCTAAATAAAGTAAAAACCTCATTTGGAAACAAGGAGAGTAGAATAGCAACCTTTTAATTTTTAATAACTTGTGGAAAGTCTTTAATATTGGAATAATTATTTTTAACTATTCCAACACCATTTTTATCTAACCGAATAATAGTGTTTAATAACTTGCAGTTTTTCTGTATGGATTTCAAATGAGAAATGATACTATTGCATATATATCGAGTTAAGCAAGAGAATGCTACATGTATGCATATTAAATCGGACTGCGTATATTCAAGTGCACACCAAATTTCGGTAGACAGAAATGTATTTGGTAAAATAACACTTTGTTTCTAAGTGTATAGCAAAGCGCATAACTGGTCTACATACGACTCTGCATACATGTAACATCGTCTATATCATGCTTTAATTCTGATAGTGTGAATGTATTTATTTCTGTTTACGCAAAAAATACTACTTTACTGGAATACCAAATTAAAAAATGAGATTCTATAATATTACTTATTTAACAAATTACGATTAATTAAAATAACGGATCCAGTTCTTATGAAAATAAAGTTTATATTGATTATTAAAGTAATAAATTTACTTTTTCTAGTGTTTTTGGGGTTTCTCGTATTATATGTTATAAAAAATGTGGAATATTATTATTTTTTAATCAATAATTATATATTGAAATATCCTTTATAATGGACAAACAGGTTTGGTTATAACATTTCCCTACATTATAAATAAACCTCTTGATGCAAACGTTTCAATTCAAACTCTCGCTTGCTAGATTGGAATACCATGCATTAATATCGAGCCTGTTCACTCTAAGTACTCTTAATTTATACTATATAAGTACTCTGCAGCACAACGAATAGAGTTGAATAAAATTGGTAGAACAAATGATTAAATATATATATATTTGCTAAAATTGGTAACATTTACCAATTTAGGAGTTTATCAAAGTTTACCAGTAAAATAAATTGATCTATGGTCAAGCCAACATTTGCAAAATGTGATATCATCTGTAAAAGTGTGGATGGTACGCTTTATCTACGTCTTCTTTGAGGCACTATATGTTGGAACATGAAATTAGTTGGAACGTACGCTGCAACGAAGAGTGTAGTTCCGCGAATTGTTAAATGTTTTTTTGTTTTAGTAAAAAAGTGTTTAAAATACAATATGAATGATATTTAAACTAATATATGCAATAAAAACTATAATATTAAAGAAAGAAAAGTGTTGAGTTTAATGCAGTTTAAAGTTTGAAAAGAAATTGGCGTTCTTAACAATGCCGAAAATAGTTATAAAATGGACGAGCATAGAACGATAAAGGACCAGCAAAATTCTGAAAAATTTGTGTTTACATGACTTAATTGTAAAAACAATATGTAAATGAAAAAGTTATTTTAAATGTTTTGTTTATGGTGCTTTTTAACTCAAGCAAGGCGCTGAAATTATTCAACCCCAAAAGTTTACTTGAAGAAAACAGAATCATAGTAAAAACGGGGAATTGTTTTAAAACGCTAAATCCACTGCCCCTCTTCACATAAATTTAAGTTATGCGTAAAGCAGAAAATAGCAAATCAAAAAAATAAATAAACTGAATGTGGTAAGAAAGGAAAATGCGATTGACAATTTATAAAGAAGCATGTCAAAAATAATAAAAATAAAAACGCAAAAACATACCATATAAGGTTGTATTTATATAGCGCGCATTAATAATGAGTTGATTATATGTAAATACCATATTGCCAAAGACAACTGAATGAAAATATATATTAATATAGACTTATAAAAAGTGTTTAATCGTGAAATTTGTAAAAGTAGTTATATTTTATAAAAATTATTTACGTGTGATACGATAATATTCGCAAGTAAAATCTATAATTTTGTTCAAAATACAACCATGCGTTAAAAGGAAAACAAAAAGTTTTTGTTGTAAAACATCAAAACGAAAGGGGAAAAAAGGAATTATAGCGCAAAGGAGGTACGAAAAATTTTCCAATTTCAAAGAAAATTTTTGACTTTGACGTTTTTATGGAGTGTGAAGAAAAAAATTAAGAAAAAATGTAAAAATTACTAAAAAGAAAATGGAGGAAAAGTGAAAAGTTTGATTAATTTTATAATTTTTTCCGCAGTCAAATTTTGCTTAAATAGTTTATTATATTTTCTTCAAATATTTACATAAAGTTTTCCACCAAATAACGAAAGGGAAATCAATAAATGCAAAGAGGAAAAGCAATTCGGTATGAAAACTGAAACTATGCAGAAAAAATGTGGAATGTGAGAAAAATTGAAAAATAATAAAAACTTTGACTGAAATAAGTTTTATAAATGTAAATCGTACAAAAATATTTGTAAAATAAAATTAACGCACTTTTTTTACGAAACAAACAACGTTTAAATAAAATGGAAATGGCCAGCAGCGCAGCTAATAGTACTCTAAGCAGCGCCACTTCGCGTAGTGCAAATGCGTTGCCCTCGCTTTTTGGGGACCATAGCGTCAGTGGCGGTGTCGGTTCAACAACTGCTGGCAAAGATCTTGATGGTCTAATGGCCATGAATGACAGTGCTCTGTCGCAACAAATCGAATTTATATTGCAGGATGCTCCTATGGAGCAAGACGATGAAGTTGTAAATGGAATGGTGACGGAAAATACTATTGTCACTAGCAATAAAATAAAATTAAAAAACCCACCGAACAATATCATAACAAGCGCTTCCGATTATAATCACTCAGCGGAGGGAACAACAATTGTCGCAAATACGCAATCTGCTCAACAGCTAAACCAGTTGCATGAGCGTCGCATAATTATACAATCAAGAGCTGTTGCCGCTATCAAAGAGGAAGATGATATGGAAGATCCAGAATTGAATGATGAAAATTTACAAGATATAGCAGAGGAAGCGCAGGCCGCAGACGAAGATGAAGATCCACCACATTTGCACACACACGTAAAATTAGAGCGGCAAGATCCGAATGAAATGAGTTCAGATAATAATATGGAATATATCACAACACCAACAATCACTACACACCATTCAGCACTTGTGTCGCAGGCACCACAACTGGTATTGCCAGCTGGTTCAATAGTAAGTACTTCCGGCAGAGCTTTATCAGTTCCAGTATCTGAAGCATTGGTACAACTACAACGACGTCCTGTTTACATAAGCAACTCTTTGGGCGGTGTGACGGGTGCTACATTCGTGCGTATGCCTGCTGTTATAAGTAGAAATCCAATGACAGTGCTTAACGTAGTACAGCAAGGTGTGCCTGTGGGTGGACCTACAACACAACTCATTCTGCAAGCAGCTCCAGTTTCAAATTCAACAGCAACTTCAGTCGTTGTGAACTCTAGTAATTCTGCCATTGTAGCCGCAAGTTCAACAAATACTTCCTTGCCCATAACTGAAACAGTTGTTGCTGCACCATCCACAGCAATTGTTTCAGCATCTTCCACAACCGCTCCATTGCCATCAAGTTCAACAACAATCAATAATGCACCTGTTAGCGCATCACCATTATCAACTTCTAATGTTGTCGTCCAAGCAAGCTCAACACCGACTACCGCTGCAGCATCCACCACTACCACAACTTATCAATGCTTAGAGTGCGTTGAAAAGTTCGATTCTAAAGAACTATTCGATATCCATCGCTCCGGCCATGCCAATAACATGAAATGCGCTATTTGCAATATGGTTTTGAAGTCTCTTAAGAACTATGAGAAACACTGTCTGCGTTGTAAACCTTACGAATGCCAGATATGTGGGCGTGTTGTACGTTTCAGACCAAATTTTATTAAACACATGCGAGTTCACACCGGTCAGCAATCGGAACGACACAAATATAAATGCGATGTCTGCCACAAAGAGTTTATGAGCTTCGAGTACTTTAAGGTGCACAAAAAAATTCACAACGAAAACGTTAATCTAACATGTGAAATATGTGGGAAAGTATTTAGCGCTCTAGCATCTTTACGCGGCCATTCAAAACTACATTCTGGTGTTAAACTACATAAGTAAGTCATTTTAATTACATATACATATATATGCTTATACATTTTAATATTTATTTTCTCTCTTAGATGTGATGTTTGTGGTAAAGGTTTTGGTCAACGTTACAATTTAAAAATTCATGCTCGCACACATACTGGTGATTTTCCTTTCGAATGCAAAATCTGTAATAAAAAGTTGCACACGCAATCCTCGCTTCAAACACATATGCAGGTGCATCAACGTGATCAAACATCTCAAGTAACCACAACTATTAAATATGAGCAATCCTCGTCCACTACAACAAGTAGTGGCACTTCAAACACAAAAACTTCTACTACACCGGCTATAGTAAAGTTGGAACCACAATCAAGTCTTGATGGTCCCAGCACTAGCGGGTTGCAACATCAGCATCACGATGATATGGATGATAATTCAGGCATGAGTGATGGCATGCATGGTACACACATTGTAACTACTACATCCACTATTAAAAATTCACATTTAACTACTGGTGATGATTCTTCGAATGAATCAAACGCATCTCATGAATTGCAACGCCACCAACAGCAACAGCACCAACAACAATTGCTTTTATCCACACCCACACGTACTATTGTTTTCAAAAATTATATGCAAAATGATCCAAATATAAGTGGCATCACTCAGCAACAAACTCAAGTTATACAGGGTGTTGGTTCGAGTAGTACTTTACAGCAACAATTACTGCGTAAAACACCAATTATACATTCAACTGGTGGAGCCACAACGCTTTCTTCCGCACTAGCCAGTGTAGTGCAACAAACAGGTAAAGTATTTCCTTTGAATTCCTATTGAACAGATAGCATTTTAGTGGAAATAAAAAAAATAATTTACTTAATATATTTGTATTAGGCTACTGTCGTCTTTTTCTTTGAATGTAAATAAAAAAAAATTATTTTTTATTTTATTATTTACCATTATAAAATTTGGCAAAAAAATTAAAATCAAAAATTGGTGCAAATACATCAGTCCAAACGCTGGAGTTAGGCGCGGGTTTTTCAAAAGATTTTCATTTGGTTTATTAAATAAATCAAATCACATGGAAAATTTTCTATCTTATTGATTAGTTATTCATGCTCTTTGTGGTATCAAAACTGACCATTATTTGAGCTCAAGTGGATATAAAGCCGCTACTCTAACCTAACCTATTCATATTTGTATTGCATTATATTTATTTTACCTGCTTGTGAGAAGCATGAAGAAACTGTAATATCTGCTTTGTCTATGTCAAGCATGCGTCAACCGTTGATTTATTTATGTAGGATAAAACCTTTCTTAATAGTTTATGTGAATATTTTTTATATTCTTTATGTCGAGTGGGAAAAACTTCCTATATTTTTTGGTAGAGGATTTAACACCTTCACCTAACTTTCGTTTAACCAAATAAAGTGTGGAGTCTTGGTCCAAAAAATATTGTAAACAATAGCTCTATTTTTTACTTAATTTTTATTATTATTTATATTCCATATTACTATCAAGATACCAATGCTTCTAATTATATTTCCCAGCTATTTTTACGTCAATGCCCCACTGATCTTAACTTAGTATATTCGTTTTGGTCTTCTATTCCTAGCATTTTAGGGACTCTGTATTAGTACTGAATGTGTTGTGCTTTCATATGATGTGCGAACACGTTTTAATTTCTAGAAAATAAATCTCATGTGTAACACATCTATTTGGTTCTATATCTATTATTATTAATTTTTATAATTAAGTAATATAATATAAATATAAAATATAGTTTAACTGCAGTTTGAGTTCATAATGGGGTGGAACAGATCAAAAGATCTGACATATTCGAATATTATTTTATTATTATTTATTATAAATATTATATTTATTTATATTATTATATTTATTTATATTTATATTTAATTTATTTATATTTATTTATATATATTTATATATATTTATATATATTTATATTTATTTATTTATTATTTATTATAAATTTATTATTTTGTCTTCATTTGAAATTATATTCTCTTTAAACTTAATACGTTTTTTAACGTATCTAAATCTTACGTATGTGTTGTTGGTGTAACTCATATGGAAATCCTATAAATAAAAACATGATAGGACTATAAGATAGATATTTTTTGTGAAATGGGAAAGAAGAAATAATTGGTCTTAAATACCTACCTTTCATATAGAATGATTTGTTGTTATTAGCCTTTTTTTGGTTAGCAATTCATTCGAAATATTTACATTAAGTTAAGTATTCCCTTGTGACTTTCAAGTAGTTGGTAATCGTTATTTTGTCAGATCTAAAAAATATACCGTGTGTGGGAGTAGTTCAAAGTTCACTTTACATAATTTGGTTAACAATAACATCTACTAAATTAATTCGCTTCATTTGTGTTATTCAACTTGACTTTTGACAATGTTTGTTGTTTATTTATAAATAAATAATAAATTTGAATAACGCATATTAAGTGCACATTGGCTTTGTGTGTTAACAAAAGCCGTGTTAAAGTCCACGGTTCAAATTTGACAGGGTTCAGTTTCTTACTTATTTCTATACTATATAAAATCGAAAAAAAAACAAAATCAAAGACTGAAAAATAAAGAATAAAATACATAGTTATAAACTATTCACTTAAAAAAACATTACAATTTATTTACAAAAAACATATAAAATATTAAATATTATATTTAATTTAGGTATATCGCCATCACCATCACCATCGTCCTCTTCAACTTCGTGTTCCTCATCTGTTGTGGTCAATAAGACATTAGCTCTTGGTTCTGTTGGCATTGGTACCTCAACTATACGTAGCACACATAATCATAACTCGAATTCAATCAGCAACAATCATCGTGCATTGCAACGCAATAACCACCGAAACCACCACCGACATCGCCATCCAGCTGATTTGGATGATGATGAAAATGACCACGATCCCAATTTACATCGTGCTACAAATGGCCGACATTTTGATGATGATGACGATGATGAGAAATCTTCCCCGTCCCTGGCTACAACTGCCATTATTAAAACTGAACCAAACTTTTACTCTTCCGGTTCGGGTGATAATTCGAATGATTTACTTATTAAAAAGGAAATAATGTTTGAAGATTCAGCCGCGCCGCAATCTCCACATTCACCACCGAGTTCAAAATATCGCATATCAAACTTTGATAGTGATCTTGTAGACCACCATGTCGATTTAACTCATGTGCTGCCACCTTACGGAAATCTTTTCGAACCGCATTCCATACCTGACAGCATACCAACACAATTATATCCAGATGACGATGATGATTTTCGTTTAGATCATAGCTCATTAGGTGCTCTACATAATACATCATCCTCTACGAATGATGGTGATTTTATTAAAAAAGAATGGGCATACGGAGCTGGTTCCAGTTACACTATGAATGGTAAATTTGATGATGATAGTGATGCACTTTGTGATGCTGCAAGTTTTATTTATAATTAAATTCATAATTAAACAATTTGGACATAAAATGAAAGCGGACAACTTACCACTCTATGTTAACTGATGGATTGAATTCAAAGAGTAAGTTAAGTATGAAATTGATGGGTGATGAGATTAGCAAACATACATATTATATTATTGGATAGATTTTAATTTAATTGTTTGACAAATTATAATTATATTTAACGATTTAAATTTGCAAGTGAATTTAAAAACTTGTGTTACAAATGCCAATATTAGCAAGTATTTCTTAATTGTTAATTAAAAAAAAAAAATATAAAAATATTTAAAATAATTATAATAATACGAATAACAGTAAAACTACGTACATTTAAAAAACAAGAAAAGATTTTTTAAACTTACTCAAGTGAGATTAGTAAATTTTATAATTTCACAATTTTCTCAAATATGGAACATTATTAAACAATTTTTATTTATCTTCCAAAGTCTATAAGAAAAAAATTTTTCCTTAATATAATTATTTTATTATTTTATAAAAATAAGTTTTTCTCCATTCGAATATTTTTCCTTCTAAACTGAAGCGTGTCTACAACACATTTCGATTATGCACAAATGAATTTATCTATTTATCTATATTAGGAAAAATTTTTTAAATCTTCAAAAAAAAAAAAACAAAAAAAATATTACTTAAAAGCAGTGAGCAGTTATAATTTAAATATTATTTTTATTATATTTATTTATTTTTTTTTTGACATTTTTATTTATTTTGTACTCAAATGTATATGTTTGTGTGTTGTAAACTACTTGTATTTTCTCTCATATACGTAACTATAATATTTGAATATCATTTTATATAAGATTTATTTGTATTGTATTGTTGATGCTATAAATGTTGTAGATAATTCCAAAGCTTTTAATTATTTACAAAGAAAAAAATAGGTGTGCTATTATAAGTTATATATTGAATGAAACAAAAATGCTGTTGCCCGTTGTGAATGCATGTCTACGTATTTTTTAAATATTTACTTTATATCAGTGTGTAGTAAGTAGTGCTTCCATTATTCGAGTTGTTCGAAGGTTTTAGCATTTCGATGTCAAAGTACGATTGTGTCCAGTATTTTGTTTAGCACAGTTAGATGTTCGAAAGAGCTGTTTGAAGCATATAGCATTTCGATGTCCGAGTACGATTGTGTCCAGTATTTTGCTCAGCACAGTGAGCTGTTCGAAAGAGCCGTTTGAAGCATTTAGGATTTCGATGTCTGAGTACTGTTGTGTGCCAGCATTTTGCTCAGCGCAGTGAGCTGTTCGAAAGAGCTGTTTGAAGCATATAGCATTTCGATGTCCGCGTACGACTGTGTTCCAGCAATTTTCTCAGCACAGTGAGCTATTCGAAAGAGCCGTTTGAAGCATTTAGCATTTTGATGTCCGAGTACGGTTGTGTTCCAGTATTTGCTTAGCACAGTAAGATGTTCGAAAATTTTAGAACATCTAATAGTGTTATATAATGCTGTTATAAATCTTTGTATAAAAATAGAAACAATATGAAATATATAGTAGATTTACTATTTGATTAGCTATTCTAATAGCTACCTCCATGAGCTAGAAGTGTACTCTAAAGTAGACTACTATTCGAAAAATTTTCGAATACTATTATCGTACTGCTCGAGTAGCATAATGCTCTAGAGTATGCCAATGTTCAAGCTGTTCGAGTATAGTAATCCTTGGTATTGCTCGTGTTGAGTGTCTGATGTTCAAAATGCTGGCGCATCGCATTGCTCAAAATACTGAACTCACATTATGTTCGAATTGCTCGAGCATCATAATTTAGAACTTAATTATGTTACAACTGTTCGATCATTGAACGATTCAGGCATTTTAATCCGTATGATTAGGCAGCAGTATGATGTGGTCGAAGGTTGTTATGCTCGAATTTCTTGAGAATGGCGATGATCGTAAGGTTCGATCATTGTAATGTTTGATTTGTGCATGCATCATGTTTGAGCTGCTCGTGCAACATAATGATTAAACTGCTCAAGTATCGTAATGCTCGGAATTACTTGAGTGTCGTAATGCTCAAGCTGCACGGGTATGGTAATCCTCGGAACTGATTGCGTTGAATGTTGTAATGTGTGAAATGCTCACGCATCGCATTTCTCAAACTGCTTGAGCATCTAGTGCGTAAACGTTTCAGGCATCAGTATGATCTGGTCGAAGATTGTGATGCTTGAATACCTCGAGAATGGAGATGATCGAAAGGTTCGATCATTATAATGTATGTTGTATCATGATTGAACAATCATTGATCTGTTCGACGATTGTGATGCTCAAATTGCTCAAGCATCATAAAGATAGAAGTGAGCAAACACTGTAATGTTTGAATTGGTCATGGACTATAATGTTTGAGCATCATAATGTTGAAACTGTTCGAGTAACATATTATTTGAATAGCTCGAAAATTAAACTGCCTGAACATTGTTGTACTCTAACTGCTCCTGCTGCATCTCACTGCTTTGAGTTGTTCACGAACCGTACGTACCGAATTGCCCGAACATAATAATACTCCAACACTTTAAAGCACTAGTCTGTAGGTATAAGATTTGTGTTATTTTGTATATTTTAACTAATTTTATCTATAAAAATGGTTCAGCGTTCTCGTGAAAGGTATTTATTAAAATAAATAAACATATTATGGTAAATCGTTAATTATGGTCAAAGGAAAGTCATCTGCTTTCCTGCCGCTGCAACCAAGCAACATTTAGCCTAATTATTCAGATCCAGAAAAATTAAAAACTAAGTATGTACAAGAATAACGATAAATAAAATCTTCACTTTGGTTTAATACACTTATTTAGTATAGATTAATTTATTTAAAGTAAATAAAATAACACAAATATAGAGCCATTTTATTAAAATAAAATAATTAATAATTTTAAAATATTTTATTTTTGTTTTATTGACGAATTTTGAAATATTTCTATATAAAAAAAAAACTAAAATGAAATATTTTTATTTTATTGTATTATTTTATATAAACCTTTTTTTCGCTACTCTAAATGCCTTAAAGAAATTGCAAAACATTTACGTTTAATTTTTAATGTATTCTTTTCCTTCTCAAATAAAAAATAAAACCCATAACATATATTAAATAAAATTGTGATTCTTATAAGCCCAACGATCATTTATTTTTTAAAATATAATTTCTTTTAATATCTTTTTTATTTATAAATAAAATGTGCAATGCTATTTTAATTATTTTTCTCTAATTATTTATTTTCTCATATAAAAATTATTATAGTTAGTTGTATTTTATATTTAATCATTTTAAATTAAATTTTGCATGCTGCATTAACCTATTTCCTTACAAGCATTTCAAATAAATTATTATTTATCTATTCGCATACATATATAATATATATATGTATTATCGATAAAATTTAAAAACATATATGTATATATATAGTACTATATGTATATACATATATTTATCAATTTATAATAAAAAAAAATTTATAAAATTGCTTTAGTGAAATTTGAAATCATCGCATTTAATGTAAAATTAATAACTATATTACTTAAAATCGATCATAATGATCAGAGAGATTAAACGATTATTATTATCAGAAATATATTAATATTGATGAACAAGTAGATTTTAACTTAGAAAAAAAAAACTAATAAGTTTTTCTTAAAAACGAAAAGAAAAAAAATTTGATATATAGATATAAAAAAATATATGTGAAAAATCAAATATCAAATAAATTATATATAATAAAAATAGAACAAAAAAAAAATTAGTAAAAGAAATTGATATATATCTATATAATAATTTATTAGCTAATAAAGAGTATACATGGTATAATTTTAATTAGTATACTATGTATATAGTAGTTAACCTTGTTTGCAGTTATAAAAAAAAATAGTTATACATATATTAAATATATAATTTTTTATACACAACAATGTTTATATTATATTTTATTAATGTTTTTAATTATTTTGTTTTTTAATTTATTTTTATTTTTAATGATTTTTTTTTATATTTTAATTAAAAAAATTTTGAACTTCCAATTTATTTTGCAGTTTTTACGAAATTCGCTTTACTAAATAAAAAATTATAAACTATTTTGCTTGTTTTGTTCACAAAATTTTTATAAAATTCATAAAGTTTCCTTCAGTTTTTTTTTCTTAATACAACTCAATGATCAGTATTTTAATTCCAAGTTAAAATTAAATTTAAAAATATTGATAATGATTTTGATCATGAAATTTAAAATAAACTATATTTAAAAAATATTAAATTTATAAATATTGAAATTGAAAATATTTAAATATTTAATAATTTAAAATATATAAATAATAAAATTTATATTTTAATTCATTTAAATATTTAGTTATAATAGGCAGCTACAAAAATAACTTTTAATTCTTTGAACTAGTGATTTGTAAGCTCTTTCTAATTAAAAAAAAACATGGCAATTGCTTTGATTAGTGTCACTTACAATTAAAGTGACTTGGAACTTGGAACTTAAGCATTGAAAGTTTGTACAGCCTTGGCTACTTGTGGAAAAACACGCTTAGCCATCGTTTCTAATTTGACAGGCACAAGTTCTAAGCTTGGCACTTGTAGTTCAACAAATTATATACGGACTATAAACTAATTAAATAAAAACTCGAATATTTCCTACGATCACTGATGATGAGTACTTGACGATATTCGAAATAGCGTTGTATGGTCAGCAAAATTTAAATAAATTAATGAAATTTTTGTGATTGTTGTTTCTTAATTACTGTTCAAACCCTTCTAGTTTTCTTTTCGTAATAAGATGCGTCACATTCGTCAAAAAAATCTATCTAATTGATTTTTATTTTGAAAAATTAGTTTATGTCAATATTTTAGCTGCCTATCGTTTAATGTAATTAATTCGAAAATAAAATAGAAAACATATAATTTTTTTTTTACAAGGTGCAGGACCTAGTAGTCCAGTTCTTTATTTTTATAAATAATAATTTCTTTTTTGAATATTGAATTTATTTTAATATTCACATTTATTTAATATTTTTTGATTATATTTAATTAAATGATTAGAAAATAAAATATAGGTTTCCCTTTTATTTTTAAAACTATATTTTTTTAAATTAATTCATTTTTAATTTTATTCAGATTTATTTTGGTTTTTTTCTTTTTATTTTTTGAGAAATACTTTTTATATAAATTTTATTACATATATATTTAAAATACTTAATTTTAAATATTTCTATAGTTTAAATTTTAATATATATAATATTAAATATTTCTTGTGAACTCTCATCAAGATAAGCATATAATAAATACGTTTTTTTTCTCATTATATATGAAGCACAATTACAAAACTCATAAGCAAATAGTTAAATTTAATATTATTAACAATAATATTTAAAATAATAATTTTAATACAACAAAAAACTCATCCAACAGGCAACAACATTTTTAGTGTATTTATAAATTCTAAAAAAAAATTATAATTTCTGCAATATATTTTTAATTAAATTCAAACTTGTAAGTTTAAATAATTGAGTGCAAAAAAAATAAAATCGAATAATGTTATTTATGGTATAGCATGTTTAAACAGATAATTTAAAAATAATATAAATTAATTAAATTATATATTTTATATATTGTATATTATATTACTATATACAATAATAAAGGTGCTTCATATGCATAAATCATGATTTATTAAAATAAGTAAAAAATTATAATTTTATTTTAAATTTAAAATTTTATTATTTTTAATTTATTTATTATTTTTTATTTATTATTTTTGCGCAAGTCCGATATTTACAGAATTGATAAAATAAAAGTTATATTTTCTTGAAAGCTCAGCTTTGATCCCTCTGGTTAAAGACCATTTTAATTTTTTTTGGAATTGTATTGGTTTTATTTGTCATAAAAACTAAAATCAAACAAGAATAGCCTAAAAACAAACATAAAATACTTATAGTAGTAACTGTTCCAAATTAAAACATGTGAATATATATATTATTCTTAGTTAATATTAGGCTACTCTGTTAAAATAAAAATGTAACCTACTATTACTATTTATGTCCAAACAAAATAACCAGAGTAACCTAATACAAAAATATTTACTAAACAATATAATAAGCAGGTCAGAAATTACATTAGATAATATATTATTTTTTTTTAATAATATTTAAAATTTTTTTTCTATGTTTTGCTATATTTCTGTATTGCTTAAGGCACGGTTGCCACAATTCCGAACGGTATTCCGGTACTTTGGTACTCGTTTTTTGAAGCGCAAACTTTATTGTATATATTATTTTATTATCCAATAAAATTTATTTATAGATGCAACTATGCACTATAAAACTAATAAATTTCGATCGGAATGGATTTTAGGACCTTAAATGATATTATGTTATGCAAAGAACTATTTTATAAAAAAAGTTATGCACTATGTATGGTCAGCAAAAGTTAGTCCGATTATTTAAATAAGAAAATGAATATAGATAGAAAGACTTGTACTATTCTATATCTTCTGTACATTTTACATAAACTGTATTTTCTTATTAAAAGACAATAGAAAAAAATATTGGACATTTTTTTTACAGATATGGTACCTTTTTGAACCAATTTTGATACGGAAAAAAATGTTCAAGTGATAACCGTGGCTTAGGGCAATGCTATGTAGCGTGTCTCGGGTTCTAACCCAGATCCTTAATCTGGATTAGCTTGGTAGCCTTATTTGTGTTCAAAGTAGCTTGAGCACTTGTAATCCAAACTAATTGGTGAGAGAAATAACAGTGAGGATTGATATGCATTGTATTTCTAAATTTTATTAAAACTATTTAATATATTTATACAAAATTATTTCATATAAAAAATATTGAATTATGCATTAATTAACATAAATATTAATGTTTTTTTTTTATTTTTTTTTGTTTATTTTTACTTTTTATTTTATATTTATTTCTAAACATTTATTTCAAACAATTTTAATATCTGTTTAAACATGCTATAATATAAACCATTTAAATTATATTTTAAAACTGTATTTAAAAAAAATACTTCTCTTCTAGTTGTGTATTGTAAGATATTTATTGACAAACTGTGAGTAAAATACATTTAAATACAATCTCTTATCTTTAAGAATTGCAGCTTTTAACTAACTTTTAACTAAAACTTATTATTTATTTAAATTTTTAACTTTTCTACGTATACCAAAGATACGAAATATTCGTAAAAAAAATCTCTGTAAATTGTCATTGTATTATTATGCTTATATTTTATTTTATCTTTTTTTTTTATTCTATATAATTTCTATGTAACTAACGCATAAAAGCTGTTTGTAATCAACACACAAAAATATATTAAGTTGAAAATCAAAACGATTTATTAAACATATATAAAAAAAAAATAAAAAAATTCACATAATTTATATGAAACATACAAATAATTTAATAGAAAATTTGAGTGCGAAAATATGTTACAAGTTGTTAAGTTTTTTTATTAAAAAAAAAATTCACATAAATATTTTATAAGGAAAATATTTTCCTTCGAATTGTAGTTAAAATCAAATTATTTTTAAAATCAAATTACTTTTTTATACTTAACAATTGATCCATTAATTGCTATTTATAATGCGGGGCTGAATTTGACATAAATCAGCAGACTAAATTGATTTATATAAAGAAAGCAGTTAAGAAAAATAAAAAAAAAACACATTCTTTTTATTATAATAAGTCAAATGACCAGGTTAATTATCTATTTCGAAAAATTGGTAAAGTTGTCATATATTATAATAAGTTAGCATTATAAGCTTTATTGGTACATAAACATAATTATTAGAAATATATGAATCTCATTAGGAAAATCAAGTCCTTAAATTTGTCCTAAATTTGAGATACAATCGTTTTAACAAAATCGTATTGTTTAATATGACTAAAGGATATATTAAATTTGAAAAAATGTATATGAGGTCTGTGACCACAAGAGAGGACAATTTTTTTTACGTTACCTTAATTTATTTAATGTTTCTTTTGTAAATTCTCAACAATTTATCAAATCTTTATGTTCACATATTTTATTTTATTTTCTTATACCATTGGACTAGAAATTAGTCGCAATTTTTTCTTTCAGAGTAGCAAAAAAATACTTGCAACTTAAGAAAGAAAACATGTGAAGCAACAACAATGCTCTTATAATCTTCAGAGTTAAGTTTTATTCACAAAAAATTTTACATCTTAAGTGTTAGAGCAGTCAAATTCAAAAATCAGTCTATTGTGAATGTTTACCGGAATTATATTGCAAAATTCCAGTCATCAACAAACAAATTGCAATATATCAAAGTAATGAGATAAAAAATGGTTACCATAGAAGAGCAAGCACTATTATTTATTTTGTTTTCTTTTATTTAAATTAATTAATTTTTTAGTGTTTACAAATTTTATATTTCATATTGTACATAAAACAACAAAAAACATGTCTAAAAATCATTTAATATATTTTAAAAATTATGCCAATTCGTTTTAACCAGACTTAATACTGTTTTTTTAAAACTCTGAAAGAAAAAAACACTTTATACTTTATTTTGAATAAATTTGATAAACGATAGCTTATAATAGTTTTGTAAGACAATTATGTATGTGGAAGGTACTGAAACTTAGGCACAACCCAAGACAATTTTATTCTTATATATATATGGATTAAAGAATTTTAATAAATCTCAATCGTTATGGGTTTTTCGATTGGTGAATCTGGTGCAAAATGTATAACCCTCGAGCTTAATTTATAACACTCTAGATATTTTGTTAAAGTAGCAAGCTTACTTATATTGTTTTAGATATATTATATAGATTAGATATATGTATTTGTGAAAAATGTAAATGTTTACTAACTCGACAGAAAAATTGTTAGATTACTCTAAAAATGTTTGATTGGTCAACAAAAGAGTAAATCTAGAGTAAATCAAGAGTAAATCAAGAGTAAATCTAGATTGAATCCAGATTTACCAATCGAAAACACCATTCATCTCAAAATTATAACTTATATAGTATAAACCACAAATGTTCTTTTTTAATTTATAATGAAACTCATATTTTATAGATATAGATATACTATTTATATATAGCTTATATTTCATATATTTTTTTTTATTAATTTGAAAAATGTATGTAATTAATGGATCTTTTAGTACATGTATAATTTATTTATAATGGATTGTTTATGTTTTTATATATCCTAAAACATTGCAAATTGTGATCTCATCTGAACGTAATCATTCATACTAATTTAACCAAATAAATGCATTTGAATAGTTTAGATTTTTAAGTGAAAACTCGCATTGCTCCTAATCAATCAATGATTACTCCAAAGATTAATCGTTTGATAATACATACATTATAACAAACAAAAAATATAGTCAGCACATAAACAATTCATTATTGCTTTTTTTTTCAAAATTTTATTTTTTTTCTTTTATAAGTTAAAAAATTTTTACAATTTTCGCACTAAAATTTTCTTTTAAACTTCTCGGTACTCATAACGCACATTGCTAAAAATAAAACAAATACAAAACAAATTTACTGAACTTTACATATAAATTAATTTTTAATTTAAAAACAAATTTAACACAATAAAAAAATAGCGCCAAATTTAAATTTAAAAAATTACTGTTCAAATTATCAATAAATAAATATTAAAATAATACTTTTAGTATTATTATTTGTGAAACAAAACAAGGAATACTTTGACTAATATTTTTAATATATATTTATTATTTTTTATTTTAATAATTTTAATATAAGAAACTATATATACTAAAAACAAAACATGTTATTTTTAAACCACTTTTTAACTATTGTATTTATTATTTTATACTGTAATCTTAAATAAAATCTCTGTACTAAAACTATACATATATATCTTTAACTTTAAAAAACTGTAAACAAGTCGAACTATTTATTTAAGAGTATAAAAAAAAATATATATGTAAGAAAGCAAAAAAAAATTTAAATAATAATTTAAATATATAACAAAACAATCTGTTTATATAAAAACAAAAAAAAGTAACAAGAAAAATAAAAAGGAAAATTTTTAAATTATATATGAATTTTATAAGTTTTTTTAAATGTACCTAAATACAAAAATTTAATTAAATAAATAATAATTAGCTTAAAGTAATTATTTTCAGTAATGACTAAATTTTATATATTATACTGCTAATTTTTTAAAAAAAAAAACAATAATTAAAAAATAATAAATATATATATATTATATATACGTGTGTGTAGTAGTTAAAATTAAATAATAAACTAAATAAATAAATATATATATATACAAAATTCTACAATAAAAAATATAAAATTGAAATAAATGGATGTATATCAATATTACACATTAAGCATGAAAAAATAAACTAAGTTTTATCTTAAAAATATGATTTATATAAAAATTATTAAATGTAATATTAATTAATAATTTAACAATATGAATGAATTTTAATTTAATTATTTAAATATTTTTTTTTATTAATATTTACAATTAGTTTTATTTTAATCACTTTTAATTAAATGTGTGCATATGTAAATTTCTTCGAACAATATAAAGAATTTAAAGAAACATGAGATATTAAATGAAACAACAATTTTGTGTATTTTCAAATTTATGTGTTTTATTTTTATTTAATATTTTTCAAAAATTTTTATAATTTTTGTAAAACATTTTTTTATTTTATTAGAGTTTTAATGGAAAATCTGCATTGTATGTAATTATATATGAAAATTGCTTCCATAATTTTTACTAATTTCCATTTAATTAATTTTTAAATTGAATTTATTAATGTTTAATTATTTTATATTAATAGTGCATGTATCATAAAATTTCTTCTAGTTTCATTAATAAACTTAAGTTAAACTATAAAATATTTTTGAATATTTTTGTGTTTATAATTTAAAAACAAATATTTTCAGATTAAATTAAATTTATTTATTAATAAATTAACTATATAAAATTTTTAATTATTTATTTCTTATTTTATTTAATATTTATATTATAAATTACAACTGTTAAGAAACTTCTCTAACTAAAAACTTTATTTCGTCTTATTTGACTAAAAAATTCAATTTATATATAATTTGTAATTATTTATTGTGTGAATAATTTTTAATTTTTATTTACTTTTTCGTATTAATAATTTTAAATTTTTGGCTGAATTTATAATTAAAATTTTACACTTAATATATATTTATGAGTTATAATTTTAAAAATCTTTATTTCAAAATTTCGAATTTAATTATTCATTAATAATATATTCATACAGATCACTCTTATTTATAACTGGTTACTTAAAAATAAATAATAAGAATAAAATACATATATTATATTATATTATATATATATTATATATTATATATATATATTATTATATATTATATATTATATATTATATATTATATATATATATATTATATATTATATATATATATTTATATATTATATATATATATTATATATATATATATATTATTTTATTATTATATTATATGATATATTATATTATATTATGTTATTTTATATTATATTATATTGTATTATAATTATATTATATTATATGTATATATATATATTTTATATATAAATATAAATATATATTATTATACTATATATTTAAAGATATATATATATATATCCTATCATACATGCACATATCAAATTTAATGGTAAGTTAAATTACAAAATATTTTTTAAAAAGTAGCAAGCAGAGTTTATAATTGAATTTAATATGTGTATATATGATAAAAAAGTTGACATTATTATAATAATTACAAGAAATTATTAAATTTTGTAATTATTAAGTTTATAATTTGAGGTTCTAAAATATATATTTCAGATCTGTGTGAATATGTTTGAATAATGTTAAAATACTCTTTAATATTTTTGATATGATGTATGTATGCAAATGCAATTTTTTCTAATGCTTCAGTTATATTTTTTAAAATATTTCATTTTGATTCCTTAATTTTATTTGTAATTTCAATTTAATTTATTTAATTTAATTTAACTTATTTAATTTTTATTTATATATAATAATATTTAAATTTATATTTTTTAAATCGCATAAACTATCATTACATACTAACGCAGTTAATATCGGAATCTTATATAAATTGTGATTTATTTATGTTTTCATATTTATATTTCAAAATCTTAGTAATTAAAAATATCTATAAATAAAAACGAAAATAATATTTCAGTGTTATGAAAACAGCAAACCCCAACGGTAAAATTTAATAAAATATAAAGAAATATAAAAAAATATTTTACAAATGTATTTATATTTATAAATGTCTAGTCGTATTTGCAGTATTATATATAAAAAATAAAATAAAAATATATTAAGTACATTTGCAGTATATCTGTGACTGTGTGTACAACAATAACTGAAATTATAAAACTTTTAGAAGCATTTTTAAAATGAAAATTAAAAAAAAAACAAAAAAAATACAAATATACTTAAAACTGTTTTCAACATAAAAAATATAAAAAGAAATACAATTTGAATAAAATTTATATATAAATGTGTCTGTTTTTAGTGCTAAGTTTAAGTATAAATGAAAATTTTAATATAAATGTGAACAAAAAAAAAAACTTAAAAAAATATATATATAAACCCTTAAAAAAATTGTGAAAATTAATAATTATATGTTACATTACTAACTGTATTTTTGTAAATTATATTTGTAATTATAATTTTGATTTATAAATAGTTTTTAATTTAAAAATGTAATTTGTAATATTATTTCAATAATTAATATAAAATTATATTATTTGACGATTTGTGGTTTTATTTTTTTATAAATTATGAAATTTCCTTTTTTTTATTTTAATAAACACTATATATATTTTTATTAATTTTTTTTTACTTATGAAAAATATTTTTTTTAACATAGTTTAAAAAACAAATTCAAATAAGTTTAAGTTTTTTCTTTCACTCTTTCGTATATTTCTAACATTTAGAAAAAACTGTGTTAGTGTTTCTTAAATAATAATTTTAGAATTTGACTCATTAATGAAATATAAAAATAATTAGAAAATGTAAAGTAGCAAAGTAAAAAGAAAATAATTAATATTTATAATTAGTTTCATTGAGTATTTTCATGTATGTGTGTGTAATTTCAATACTTTATGTATAAAAAAAAAAATAAATAAATGACAAATAAAAAATTAGTAAATAAAAATTTAGCAAAAAATCAGAAAAAAACTAAAAAAACTAAAAAAAATATTAAATAAATAAAAAATATTTTGTGTCGTATTTTATAAATCCGAATATTTCTCATAAACATGAATTTCCGTAAACGTAACATCAGCCCAAATTCTAACTGAATTAATAAATTATTAATTGAATTATATACATATAAACTTATGGATGAACTATAAAATAAAAAAAAAATTGTAGTTATAATTTTTTAAATTAATTTTATGCATTATTACTGTGTATTAAGTTTAAAAAATGTGAAATCTTATAGTAACTGAAAATGTGAAATTATAATAAAAAACTAATAAAAATATCATAAAAATTATAAAAAAATTAAAAATAATTATTAAAATAAAAATCGTCTTTATTGAAAAAAAAAATTGAATATATTTTTTTTATGCTTACTTTACCAATTATGATAATTTCATATTCTCCAGAATATTTTATTAAGTCATATGTGAAGAACGCTATAGTTTGTCGGGTATGAAAACATATAGAAAGATAATGAAATCAGTAGCGTTGAAAAATATATCACTTTATCAACATGTTTGCAGTGATACGAATAAATCATACGAGTGATCAAACTTCTGTCGAATTTTTATATAATGTTGAAGCTAGTTGAGTCAGTGCACTTGATCATTTTTACTCTCTATTAACTGCGAGCTTTCTTCACACCCCTCTCAACGCCTTGACTGGAGTATTGTTTATCCTTCATCAGACTAAGCAATAATTGACCTCAGATCTGCATACCTCCTCGAGGAGCGCCTGTAATTATTCTGAGATGCGATAATGCGGTGTTGGTGAGTCTATCAGTTTTCGTAAATAATTTCATGGTTCTATCCTTTATGTATTTTTGATCAGATCAATGTTAAGGTCCCGGAGAATGTTATTCATTCTAATGTACCATGGTACCTTGAAAAGTCTTTAAGAGATCTAAAACAGATATTGTGAGGTTAACTAATAATATTAACCACAGTCAAACGTTGAAGGATAGCACAATATTATTAATGGAGAGCTATACACTATTTACTGCTTTTTCTATAATAATAATAAATAAATCAATGAGTGGATTATCTGTAGATTACACGATTGTAATAGTAAAACCTTATTTCTTTTGAGACTAATGTCCCTTTCCGAAATATTGTTACATAGTTTTCTTGAGCAAAATCTGAAATTAGCTAATAACGATTATTTAGAGGTCACTAAATGACATTTGGTCACAATCAAACTTGGGTTAGAGATTTGTTGAAGAAAATCAAGTTCGGATACCAATTGTCATTCTGATGATGATGAAGATCTTGTAACTTAGTTAGGGTAAATTTAAAAATTTTGTGAAACATTTCTATTGTTTACCGCTTTATTATTTATTTTAATAAATATTTTTTTTTGTAAATAAGGTTAAAAATATTAGATAATAATAAAATAATATCGGGAATAAATTCATTAATTATGTGTTTTATCATTCCATTTATCTTCTAAATTGATGATATGCAAAATAAAGTATCTCATGTCCTTTGTGTTAAGGACTTTAAGAACAGTTGAAGGTTCTCAATAAAATGTGCATAAAGACACAGATCTAAAAGTATTCTTTAGATAGACGCTTGTGATTCCTGTGGATATCGTGTATAACATGTGATCTAACCTGTATTTAAAAAACATAGTTCTTAAGAATATCAGATACCTAAGTAAGATTTCTTTTCTGGCGATCTAAATTGCATTATAAAAATAGAAAATTTAATAATAACTTACTAAAAATGTTATCAATTCGATTCGCACTTATATGTACGTGTATTACTGTTATCTCAATATCCATATATATCCATTTATTTATCTATTATCTTTTCAATGTACATACATTTTTTTAGATATGATTGTGCTTAAAATAAGTAAAAATGAATATACAATTTATTTTTACTTCCATTTTTAATATAAAAACAGTTATTTGTTTTTCTGAAATATTTATTATATTTAAAATTTCCAAAAAAAAATATAATTTTGTATAATACAAATATAAAAATTTACATTACATAAACTTAACTATAATTTTATATTTTATGTACATATATATATTTCCATATATATATAGTATGAACTAAATTAAAATGATTTACTTTTATGACTTTTTTAAAAATAAAATATATTATGTATATTTAATATAATTAACAATTATATTTTGTATTTTTTTGTTCCAAAAATTTAATTTTGTGTATATTTGTAACTCTTACTACATATATTAGTTATATAAAGATATAACTACAATATATATGTATATATATATTTATATATTTTAATTAATTTTTAATTAAGCTGGGGAAGCACTTTTTTGTAAGTATTTTCAGAAAATAAAATAAAGATAAAATTTTAAGTTTATTTCTTTAATTTTTGCAATAATTAATTTACAATTTTTAAAATATTTTCCATTTAACAGAAAATAAAACGAAATTAACAAAAATTAAAGTAAATTAAAATATAATTAAATAATTTTTTTGAGTTTTATTCCAAAACAAATTAAAAAAAAATTTTTAAATATATAATAAAATATATATAATTTTTAAAGTTTATAATAAAATAATGTTTAAATTAATATTTGATTTTTTTTTTGAAAAGAAATTTTTAAATGGCCACCGATTAAATTTTTTACAAATTGTGATGCAGACAAATTGCAGAAGTAGAACCCTTCCAACTAAAATATTTTTGCTAAACTGGGTGTGCGTCTGAATGGATTCCAAGAGCTTGAAGACAAGCTACCTAAACGTCCACCCTTGTTTGATACTTTGCAACGCATTTTCGGTTTGGTTGTTGTGCCTGTGGGACTGGATGAGCCTGACGAAACTCCTGATGAACTAGCTGCTGAAAGTGTGGATATGGAACCTTTCGATGAAAGTGGCTATAAAAATTAACAATAGTGTGTTATAAGTCAAATTAATTTTATCTTATGTATTGAAGTACCTTCAAGTAATTACGATCCATAGGTGTTATAATCTTTAACTCTAGCGACGACCCGCATGACTGTATTAAACGTACAACTTGTTGATGTGTATACCATTTGACATCAATACCAGCAATTTCCACAATAAAATCGCCTTCTTTAATGCCACCCAACTGTAAAAGTAACATATAATATTTTATAATATTTAATAACATATAATATAATAGATAGATATAATATAGATATAATATATTTAAATATAATGCATACATATATTTGTATATAAGTACTTACATCCGCTAAAGAGTTTATTTCCACGTGTGCTATTATTACTGGTGCATCGCCACGTACATGAAAACCGAAGCTATCAATTTCATCTTTATAGTGTGCGCAATCCTCTTTATGTTCGTCATGCGGTGTCGGACAGTGACACTGATATATTGTACTTTCGTGATATAAACTAGAGCCTTTTTGTAAGCGTACACAACGTGGCGCTGTCCAGTAACGACGTGCAGAAAATATGGCTATTGGACCAAGGCGTTTGAATGGATCTTCTACTTTATGTGAAGTAAAATCTGGACCCGTAAGTGAAAGTGTGAATTTTGAGCAAGCTATTAAAAGAATAAGATATAAAATATATCTTAAAATCTGTCTTATTTTAAATTGGAAAAATTTCAATACCTTCAACTGCCACGTCAAGAACATCGAAATCCTCTTCAATTTCTCTTTCAGGTATTTCTTCCATAAATTTTTCATATTCATCTTGCGTCTTATAAAATGCTTCCTTTATGACTTGTATTAGAGAGGTTTTGTTCTAAAAATGTGAAAATAATAATTTAGATTAAAAGAGAAAAACTACATCTCAAAACCGTTAGAGGTTATATTAGTATACAGATTATATTATAATAGAAGATATAAAAATAAATTTAAAATTAAAAAATAGTAATTTTGTTTTTTTTTCGGTGGTATTAAGCTCTACGACATTAGCTCGGTTTGGTAAACGTGTTTGATTCGGTTTCTTGTCGAACATTGAAACTCCGACGGGAGTAGTGAGTGTGTTTTAGTCTTCGGTATTCATTCGAGACTTTTTTTACTTATATTCAGTTGTTTTTAGCACCAAGTTACTGTTTGGAACTACAAGTAACCGGCTTCTTTTTTCACAGTCTTTTGTTTACTCAGGCTGCCATGTGCTGAATTCCTATACTAACAGCGAAGATACCAGCAGTTCCATCCCTTCCGGCTTTAACACGACCGTTGAATGTAAACCCGATTTTTTAGTATTAACTTATTTAATTATGTGAATAAATAAATGTGATATTTTCAGTCAATGATGACACACGTTTCCTTCTTATTACAGTAGGTTGGGTTAATATCATTTATCAATGTTAATTCATTAATAATTATATATTTAAATATTTAAAAATCAGCAAACCGAACCCAATTTATATAAAAATGCAGGCGGCATTATTGGAAATATTTCTTTGGATATTGAATAAAACTCGCTTACCTTCAAATACCGACACATGCGCTGCAAGCGTTGCGCTTCTTCATGACTAGCCAAAGATTCTTTAAGATGGGTGCGTTTCATAGCTGCGGCACTAGCACAATCCTCCTCACTTTCATCAATGGCAGCCGCTGCGCGCAATGCCTCCCGCGCATTGCCAATAAAAGATTCATTCGATGAGGGAGCTTGACTCTTTTTTGTGCTCAAAGATGTTTTGTCTGCAGCTGCATCAATACTACGAGCTTCGTAATGATGAGACAATGCTATAAAAATGAAACAACAACAACAGCAACAGCAGTTGTAAATGTAATTGAAATTGAAATTTAAATTGAAATTCAATTGTTAAATTATTGACGCCGTACTGCTTAAGAAGTCATATACATACGCCTCGTAAACAATTCAACGGCAAGGCAGGCAACGTGCCGATTGGGCATGGATGCCCATGGAAGCAAGATTTACAACTCACCTTTGTAGAATTCAGCTTTAAGCGGTACTAGACCAGCCCAGCATTCCGGCAAATATGTGTGTGTATCATTTGTTTGTATATTTTTGTGCATTTCATTGTATTCCAATGTTAGTTGTGCTGCTTCGCCAGCTAAATCTTTGAAAAGCTATAAAAATAAATAAAACACGAAAAATAATTAAACCATTAAAAAATAAATAAAAACAAAATGCATAAAATAAGTACAAAATTTAGTCCAAAAGTCATTAAAAAGTTTATATACCATTAGTTATTAGTCTTTTAAACTCACATGACTCGATTCCGTTAAGCCCAAAGCTTCAATTTGTAGCTGCAATTTTTCAAATAGGCATTCACGTGCTTGTGACAACATCAATGAAACCAATACGTCGAGTACCTGTGGCTTCAAGTCCATGGATGGTGCATTTGTGAAAGTATCGTAAATATGCCGAAAAATACCAGCAGCACGTAGGAAACTATCCACAGCTGCATCGAGTCCCTTTTCAGTTGTGCGATCATGTCTTGCACCGATTTGTGTGTAAATTGCACCCAAATTGAAAAGTGTGCATGCCTTTTCGAATGCAATGGTGCGTTGACAGGAGGGAACACCTAAAATTATTAAAATCAATTTAAATATACAAAATAAGAGTAATCAGTGATTAACTCCAATAACGTACCTGTTAGTGAATCATACCACTCGAAGTATACTCCCAAATTTCGATCAGGCGGAAAGAATCTTCTTTCGACGTAATACAATAGATTGTAATACCGGAAGAGTAAGGCAACACCTTGTGCATCACGTGAAGGCGTTTTGGAAGCCTGTAGAAAATTGAAATGAAAAACAATAAACAGTATATAATAAAAGAATTAATAATTAAATATATTATTATTAATTTTATTAATAATTTTATATAATTATTTATGTATTATTATTTTCTTTTGCATGAGAGTTGCAAAAGAACAGAGGATTATATAAAGAATTTCTCATAATATAGGGAAAACTAGTCCCATTTTTATGAATTGATGAAAAATTTAGTGATGTCGCATAATGGGAGGGGAAGGAACTAAATAGAACGTTAGTGATGAAAGCTCCAACATTTTGGGATATAAGTCTAAAAACGGTTATATTTAGTAAAGGGCAGGACTACAGTAACGCTGCACTAACAATGAAGTAAAGTAAACGACAAATATTAACTAACGCACTATAAAGTTCTAATTTTATATAGTATGTTAGTAAGCAGTAATCTACAACTGCGACATTATAAAAATAAAGTTTTGACATTCAAGAAGCCTTTAGTGATATTAACCATTTGTCTATTATTAACTATTATATATATTGTGCACTGTATAGATTGTTTTATTTTATAAAGATTTTAGTAAATAAAACTATTTATATATATATATAACATAACAGAAATTTAATACATTTATATATATAAAAATATATATTTATAAACCATATATATATTTATAAACCAATATACATTTACATATTTATATCAGTATAACAATATATATTTGTATATATAACAGTATATATTTATATTTTCATAAATATTTTACTATATAAAATATTATATTTTAGTCCTTTGACTAAAATATAATTTTCTAGGCGATTTTAAACCCCGAGTTTCTTTATTATACGGTAACATAATGGGCCAATAGGCCTGGTGTCTTAGACCAATAGGCCCTAGGGATTGCCGGTATAACCTAACCTAATCATTATTTTATATATATTTTTAATATATGCTTACCTGTCTTGTATCTGTTATATCAGCAATAGCATCCATGTATATAGAAGGCTCTTCACTATAGTGTTCCAAAATAAAATCCGAAAATGGATCCATAAAACTAATTTCTTTCGTTTCTTTTAAACCAAGTGGTATCATAGGCATTACACCGTCATGACTGTAAAAAACAAAAAAAAAATAAAATCAATTAAGTTATATAAATATAGACTTAAAATATATGTAAAGCGTTTTCTTGTTTAGATTTTTAAAATGGCAGATATCAAAAAGCTTTTAACCGTACTTTTATGTTACGATCAATAAGGTTTTATTAAAAATAAATCGTAATCGAGATATATTCTTAATATATATATATATCGTTATCATATTCATTTAGAGCTATAATCCTGGATGTGTTTTGGTTTTTTCTTTAATTTTATATGGTATTATATCTTCCAACTTTGACTTAAGGCTTTCTTGGATATGTTAAGAGTAATTCTAAATATGTGATAATTAATTAAATTTTCAAAAGAAAAATTAAAGAAAAATGAGAAACAGTCTTAGGCTGTAGTCATTTCGTTAGCTTATATTTGGGAAATATTGTATGAAGATTTAGGCATGGGAAAGACTTTAGCATGTTGGGTTCCAGATTATCTAATCAACATCAACATTTGCTTAAATAGTTTTCTCAAAGTAAACCTTTTTTTACAAACTTATAAATTCTTATAAAACTATACTTCGGGAGTAAAAAAGAATGTCAATATAGTTGATTATTTGATTGATTGATTAGATTATATATGGAAAGTATTGCATGAAGATTCAGGTATGCGAGGGCCTTTAGCTTATCAAATGTTAAAATAATTGACTCAAAAAAGTGAAAGAGCTTTGAAGGTTTTCCATTCTGTATGCAATGGAACTGAAATTGTTGGCAGGTCACCTATTGGATCATCATGGCCTGTATTATATTTTTGCTGTAAAGAGAATGGACCTCATTTTCGGCATTGATCTAGGTCAGCAGAAGATTGCTAGGTACCTAAATTCCTATTCTCGTTCAAGGTTACGATATCCTCAACAGTCGACATTTCGGCTTTTATTTGAGAGCCTGTTCAGCTAAGTTGGGTAACTAACACAAAAGACCAATCATGGTCCTGATGTTCCACTCTCTGAGAGCCAGTACTTACTTATTTTGTATTAATTTTTATTTCATTATTTTTTAGTGGGTGTTTGACCAAAACCTCTGTAATATATTTATGTTAAAGTTGTTACTAATGAAAATAAATATAAAATATTTGATTTGTTTTTAAGCTCATATATACTGAATAAGATCATAATCCCGAATTGTTGTTACTACATTTAAGCTTATATAGAAAATCTGTTGAATATTTCACTATATCAAATAAAAAAAAGAACTTAACAATGTTGTCTGCCATTATAAAAAATTAAATTTTTCCACTTAAAGAGCGTTGCCTATAGTTTATTCTAGCATTTGGATTCCCACAATTAGATTTTCTGTGACGAAGACCTAAATTATGGGATTCGTGTCAACTGAACATTTTTTTTTGCGCAAATAAGATTTCGCTACTTGCGGTTACAAGCACGAGTACTCGTAGTTGTAGAAAAAGAGGCTGTGAGTGAGTGAAGTCAGAAGTACTAACCCACAGTAAAAGCAGTTGTACGTTTGGATAAATGTATCGGTTATGACAGCTAACAAGTGAGCTACAATTTAACCTTCTTCTGCAGATAAGAATTGGTAAAAGTGGCTTACTGCATTTCGCGTTGAGATACAATGTTACAATATTCGTACCAACTAAATAAGTAAGAAATGAATGGGTTACTTAATGGAAAAAGTTTTTTAATATAAAAGCAAAGCCATAATCCAAGTATTGTATAAATGTAGAGGCAGAATCATCGAGTAGCACACCTTAATTTGAGATTGGCAAAATAAATGATGCCATTGTTATTATCGAGACATTTGCATACTATATGTGCATCTCAATTAGCAGTTGATATATGCAAACTACAATGTGACTGGCTCCCTTTTACGTGGCAGCAAGCAGTGAAGGTGTATGGCACCAATGCAGTATTATTTAGACTTAATCCGAATGAAAATATTGATGCTTATTTGTTTTTTGCCAATTTCATTAAATAAACTCAATATGAACTTAAGGAATGTAGGGCATTACAAGAATAATAACCATAATTTTGCTAAGTAATAAAAAAAGTAGCTTGTGTACAATTGCGTTTCTTCGGGCCGTTTTATTATTGCTGACATTATTATCTTTTGTCAACAGAGTCGTCAGCAACAACAACAATAACCACAAAAAACTTCTGCTGTTGGAAGAAAATCACAGATAAACGCATTTTTTTTTAAATTTTTATTTATAATTTTGTTTTTCTACAGATTGGCTGGGCTTTAAAATTTATATAAAAAGATTCCCCAACAATTTCATAAGAAAAGGCAATTCAATAAAAGTGGCCACTGGTCACACTGGCTGTAAAAATAGGTTAAGGGGTTTTATGTGTATGTTTGTATATGAACTGTGTTAATAACTAATAAGTATTATTATTAAGGGCCAGAATGCTGAGAAGTGACTTACTAAAACCTGAAAATATTTTTAAAAAATTTATTCCTAAAAGTCGCGGATTTCAGATACTTTTATACATAAAAATGACCGGCCACACCTTTTAAAAGAACTTAGATACTTTTATGTCAAAATGCCTGTCTGTACCTTTGTCATAAAATATAACTTTATTACTTATATCTATATTGTTTATCGTATCGGATAACTTCAAAACAAATTAAATGATGCTTAAGTATTGGTCTTTTCTTAAGAAATTCAACTAACACACCTCACTCGTAATTTGCTTCTTCATAAGTTATTTTTATAAAAATTAATTTTGATGTAATACTTAAGTTATATATGCTTTATATACCTAAAAATGGTTATACATTAATAACTGTCTATGAAATTTATTCACGTATTTATTATTTTTCTAGTTTATAATAATGAACAATTTCTTACATATTGTTTAAATTTGGCAGTTTTGAGATATGCTTATCCGTAATATAAAAAGATTGTCCAAGAGATCTTGTTTAGGCTATACCATTTGGTTTAACATAGACAAGGTTAGGGAAATATGTCATTTCTAGCCAAATTTTATAAAAAAAATTGTCCAAGAGATCTTGTTTAGGCCATACCATTTGGTTTAACATAGACAAGGTTAGGGAAATATATGTCATTTTTAGCCAAATTTAGCAGTTTTGGGATATGTTCACCTGCAATATATAAAAAAATTGTGAAGAACGTTTTCGCATTAGAACTAACATTTTTGTATTTAAAAACTTTAAGATTAGGATTTCATTTCAGGATTAGGATTAAATAAATGTCATGTATATCTAATCAACGCCTATATATAAACGTAGACAGTGCTTTGATACCGGACGAAATCGTAATTCGAATCTATTCAAATATTTTCTATTAAACTAAATAAATGCAACGTATTACATTAATTAACATATTTATATGCTTTGTTCACTGAAGTAAATAAGAATTATAAAATAAAATACATTGAATACACTCCTACGTATATTTAACCATTTTTCATATGCATTAATACAATTCTGATTGAATTTCTATGATTTACTAATTCAAAAATATTTTTTAAACTTAAGTCAATAAAACAAAAAAAATGAATGCCAAATATTATGTATAGTCATTAAAAGCAGGCGGAGGTCCCATAAGAAGTAAACAGATTCTATTTAAATATTTTATATTAAACTAAACAAGTACAGTACTTGTAACATTCAGCAACATTTTTATAGGATTTGTTCAGTGAAGTAAGTGAGAATTATAAAATAAAACATGTTGAGTATTACTCGTGTGTATATCCAATCAATTTCCATACACATCTATATAATTTGTAATAATTTCTTAGGTTGATTGAATGGGATTAAATTTTAAAGATCTTGTAAAATCTTGAAAATTGGAAAGTATTTACTACTTTTTTACTTTTGAAATTCATGGTCAAAGACTTTTCTTTGTAATATAAAAAAATATTTTATTACATTTAAACATTAAAAGTAATGTTTATACTTTTTTGTAAATCATATCTATTATCGAATGAGGTTGCTACATTACTCACCTCAAGAAGTACCAATTTATGAATAAATATATACCGGGTGTTTTTTTTAGCTGCATGAGAACTTAAAATGATAATACAAGATAGATTGTTGGAATGAAACTTTTTTATTCTTATTTGTTAAGTAATTTCATGGCACTTATTTTTTGAATATGATTTTAGGCACACGTCCGCCGCGGCTGTGAGTTACATGATCCATTCGAGTAGTCCAATTTTTAAATATATTTTGCAATAAATATAACGTCAATGGTGGCATGAGTATTGGCTTCTAAAACTTCAAGAGTTGCTGGTTTTTTAGCTTAAACCAATGACTTAAAATAGCCCCATAAAAAGGTGATTGTTAAAGAGAGGCGTTAAATCGCACGAACGGGGAGGTCAGTTACCAGAACTACTTCTGGAAATAAAGTTGTTCGCAAACTGATTTTGCAATAAATCGATTGTTAAGCGTGCTTGTATGGCAAGTTGCGCTGTTTTGTTGGAACCAAATGTTGTCGATGTAACGATGTTTAACTAATTAATTTTTGGAATAATTTTTTATTATCAAAAAATTCTCTCTATTAACATTAATGGGTTGTTCATCTATGAAAACAGATTTTTACGTTGAAGTGACAGTGTCGATTCAAAGAGTGTTTCACTATCTTCGGTTGCAAATTTTCTTTTGTTATTAGCAGAGAGAATGTTTTTCTACTAAATTAGTAAAACTAATGCTAATCATTGCCTTTAAACACTTCAGTATAAATGTTTCACGAATTCATTACAATATCTCTCTTAATATACCTGTAGGTTTTAATTATTATTAATAATTAAAAAATGAAAATTAAGAAGTCAAGTGAATGAGTTGTTAGAAAAATACAGTATAGGTAATTTTTTTTTTATTGAGTTATTTTTACTTTATAAGGCCGGTCGGCTAACCTCAATAAATTTGAAACCACAATTTTCTATTATAAAATGGTTTATGTTTATTGGATATCTTTAAGTTTAACAGTGGTATATAGTTGTAGGAGGCAAACTCCTGAAAATTTGCTGGATATGCAAGCAATCTATTAGGGAATATAGTTTCGTCATAGCGGATATGAAAGTGTGCAACTTTATATTATATTGATGAAAGAATACTTTAGGAGTACTTCAAAATATTATTGAATGTAAGTAGACTGCAATTTGATAGTCACTCGGAAAGGTAACATTTAACACAGTAAACACTACATTACACTGAGAGTATTCTCTGTCGGTTATTCTAACAATTAATTAACTTGCGATATGCGATGTATACGGATATCAATACAAAACTTTAAATGTTATTAAGCTAATAGAGTTAAGTATTAATATTTGAGTTAAGATTTTTTTTTTTTAAAGACATTCTTTATTGAATCTGAATAGTACAAACTTCGGTTTCATTACAGGTCATTATGGTCTGAAATTTCACTTTCATGAACTACGATTATCTGCTAATTCGGAATGCAGATTATGCCTAGAAGATAAGGAAACTATTGTGCATATTCATTGTGACTGTTCAGCTTTAATAACGTACCGATGAAACTTGTTTCATATGGAATTTCTGTCACCAGAACAGATTAAGAGCTTTTCTGTAGATATAGTTCTGGACTTTGTAATCAAAGCTTTAAAGGGCTTTAAGTAATCATTAGTGAAAAAAAGCGATGTAGACAGGTATATGACTGATGTTTCGATTTGTGAAATTTACATGCACTGATTTTTCTTTATTCATATTGATTTTCCATTTCTTTGTCCAAACAATTATACTGTCCATACTATTTTGCAAATTATTAACTGCTATTATTGCGCTTTCTCCAACTGCAAGGACTGCAGTATCATCAGCAAAAGCTGCTGTGAACGTCGTTGCACTCGTTGGCAAGTCGCGTTAATTTTATACAATTTGCTATAGGCATCACCGTGCTTTACTCGAAAGTAACGATCAGATAAGTAAGAGGAGATTACATCATAATACTCCGTTGGGAGAATATTTTTTACTTTGGTAAGCAATCCGGAGTGCCAGACTTTATCGAAAGCCTGCGACACATCTAAAAACACAGCTGAGCAGATTTTTTTTCCTCAAGAGCTTTTTCTATTACATTGGTAATCCTATGGACTTGATCTATGGTGGAGTGATTGCACCTAAAACCAAACTGATGTAAAGGTATTATGTTTTGACTTTCAATCAGAGGAAGGATTCTTTTCAGTAAGACTTTTTCAAATATTTTTGAAGAAAATGATTGAATAAAAATAATACTCCTATTAATACTCCTCTATTATTTAAAAACATAATTCTCGTTAATTGTTGTTTCTTTATGGAAAAAAATTAGCCAGGGTAGGTTGCGGTAGATGTTATGAGAAAATATTGAAATTTTATATCTATTTATATATTGTTGAATTATTTTCGCTTGTGTGAAGCTAATCTATCTGAAATATTTAAAAATATTTCTGTTGTTTGTTCTACTTGGTTGCGCTAAAATGCGCTTGACCGAAACTAAAGCGCAAAATAATTGTAAAAACAACAAGTGTAGCAGCAAAAAAGTCAATAGAAAATCTGTTGAAGTTTTGAAATACATGAAAAGTACGGCAAACTAAAAATGGAAATTACAAAAATTTAATGAGAAAATTTCATGGAGAAAATAGAAAATCTACCGAGTAGGAAAAGGGTTGGCGCTCGCCAGTGTATCTCGAAACGAGTTATTAAAATATTCGCGTATAATTATTGAAATTAAACAAGTTTATTAGCTTGAAGAGGTGGGAAGAGGAGCCAGGCCAGAGACTTTTGCTATTTAAGCAATTTTTTAAGTTGTTTGTTAACTCATTCAATAATTGCAAATTTATACAATATTACAGGGAATTTTTTTTTCTACCATATTTGAAGATAGTTAGGAATTCACATAAAATTAAAATTGATTATTTATTAGCTATAAAAAGTTGTTTAGTACGCCAGTGAAGCGTGCCGATGCTACTTATTAGCATCGCAATTTGTTTCTAAAGGCGAAAGTAGCAGTTTTTCACTAAAGCTCGAAAAATATTCAAGTATCTAAAGAAGCAAAAACTAATAATTTTTTATTTTATGTAGGGTTATATATCATTGTGGGTTATTTATACATATATATTTATACATATTTATACATATATTAACGTACTATTTTTTAAGTATGTTAACAGCTAATTTTTATAATTTATAACAATTTGTGCTAATATTTACAGTCGCAGTCAAGCCCTTAAATCTTAACGCAATCTGTGCAGTATGAACTCCGTATTTACTTGCAAAAACATTTATAATTTTATTACTTGTTAACTTTTTGATTTTAAAAATATTGTATACAATAAATTTATTTATATACTCGTATTTTTACATATTTATTTAACCGATAGCTGTTGGCAAATATTTTTGCAATAATTAAAATATTTTTACAATTATTTTGCTATTTCTGCTTGACGCACGTGTTCGAGTCAAGTTTATTCGTAAAAGATTAAATTTAATTAGTTAAGAATAATAAATAAATATGTCAGTTTTTTTATATTTTTTAAATTTATTAGTTTTTTTAAAGATAATTTCCTATTTTTCATATTTTTCATATTTTTAATTTTAAATTTTCTGTTTGTATTATCATTGTTCCAATAGTGTATAATAAAAATGCATAAAAATTGTTCATAAATAAAATTTAATTTAATTTATTTTTTTTTTAAAAATTAAGTTAATTTTTTAGTCATCTAATATTAAAAAAATTAATTTCAGAATCGAAATTTTTATAGTATTAGTAGGTCCGACATTATGCTTATTATCATTATTACTATTACTTATTATTACTATTTCTATTAACTCAACTTTCTTCAATTAAGAAAATTTTTTAATTTAATAAAATACTAAATCAACTAATATTAAATAAAATAATTTCAGGATCGAAATTTTTATGGTATTACTGGGGCTTCAAAATAAATTGTAATTTAAAAAATTTTTTACTATTTGGTCAGACATTATGGTTATTATTATTTCTATTAAATCAATTTTCTACAATTAAGATATTTTTTTGATTTAATAATATACTAAATCATCTCGTATTAAATATAATACTTTCAATATTCATAGTACGATTGCCTTTCAAAAAAAAAAAAAAGAAATTGAAAAAATTTTTTACTAAAGTAATTCAATCAGATATTATTCTTATTATTATATTACTATTTCTTTACTCCATTCTCTATAATATTTTTTACAATAATATAATTAGACACTATTTTTATAATTATTATATTATTATACTTATACTCTATTAGAGTTATAGGTTTCATAAAAATAAAATCCAAGTATTTTTATTTCTAATGAGCTGTGGCAGTTCGTTAAACGATTTCCCAGACTCTGCCTAAACCTATCTAGGTGGCGAGCACTAAGTGCAGGGAACTTCATAAACCCATACATAAAGGACTGTTTATAATTTTTTTAAAATCAAAACAACTAAAGTAAATAACATCGCTCTAAAGAAATACTAGCAAAATACTGGGTTAAGTATTTATTAAATATAATGTACCGATTTAGGTTTAGTGACTTGCTGTCCATGTCTCGGGACCCAACTCCTGATTGTGTTTTCATTATGAAATGTTACTTTATGGCAACAATTTTAGGGAACTGGTGAAGACCTGTCAGAAATGTTTGACTTGGGTCATGCATATAATATAAAATTTTATTAAACAAGTATTCTGTTACTTGCTTCAACTGATCTCTTTGAATAACCGCATCTTGTTAAAGTAAAAAGTTAAAGAAAATATTTTGTGCATTTTTATAATTATATTTAAAATTATTTTAAACTTAAATATAATTAGAAATCACGTTTCAAAAGATTAATAATATATTCAAGTTAACCTTATATGAAAACTATTTGTAAATGATTTGAAAAGAATGTGGGGACTCGTTATCTCGTATACGAAATGACATACAATAATATATTATATATATTGATATAGTTTGGGTGTCATTAAAAAAGAATTATACTTGTCTTAAATTGAAGAAATAATATGATATATATTTACAATACATTTTTTTAAAACCATTTAATATATTTTAATTTGAATTAGTAAATTCAATTAATTTTTTGTAGACTGAAAATTGAATATGTAACGTTGAAACGATTGATTACTCATTTCTGTGAAATTTGAAGTAATACATCTTTACTTTCTAAAAAAAAATAATACTATTCTATTTTGAAAATATTTATTATATAGGAAATAATATTGTTAAATATTTGAAATATTATCGTCTACATCCACTAAGCTAATAAGGCAATGAGTAAACTACTGAATGTATAAAAATTTTTTCTAACATTCTAAATATCTAAGAACCTCCAAGAAACAAACACGATTTTGCCATTTTAAGCAATTCAAATCAATCCAATCACACTAACTAATCTTAATGATTTCCTTCCATGAATGTCGACTCATGTTAAGTGTGGCCACGTTGCCACGTTGCCACATTGCCACAATAAGAAGTGTGGCTGTTACAATTGCATTGCATGTATCTTTGCCATTTTATGCAGGCGAACGTAGATACAGTATTTTGACCTTTTTAAGGTTCACTTCTAAATTATGGCAAATATAAAATTTTATAGTCTCTAAATCTTTTTTCAGAAATGTGACTTCCTGAAATTGAATGTCAATGTAAACAATGAACTTTTCCGTTATGTATCTTTATTTGTAATAAACTACACAATTTTTTTTTATAAATTTTTGACAATGAATATAGATGACTCACCTATCATTTTGGTAGATTTCTACAGATGAATTTAATTCGGCTAATTGCTCCTTTAACAATTGTAAATTTGAATTAACAAAACTCAATTCCAGAGCTACGGTATCACGTAATTTGCGATTTGTGGTTGCCTGCAAAATAATTAAAAAGATTTTATTACAAAAAATTTTTTATATCAATTATTAAATCAATAATACCTTAAAGAGGTTTTCAGCACCAGCTCGTAATCGTAGTTCTTTATTTATTTCCTGATTTAATTTACAACGTTTACTCTGTAGTTTTCCACGACAAGTGGCAGCACGCGGATCAGAACCCTGAAAAAAAAATATTATATAGGTATTAATATAATTATGCTGAAAGTATTAATCGAATATAATAATACTCGAGAAAGCCCAGATAAGGCTTTTGTTAAAACCTGCAAGGCAGCGAAAATGGTTTTGTTATATAAAATAAGGAAAATGTTAACCGATACTATATATACGTAAAACGATATATATGAAATAGTACCCGGTACATTGTGACCCTATCTCTTATCAATTAAAATAACATAAACACTAAGAAAAATTTGAGCGACATTAACTATATAATAGTGTGTGTGGAAGTATGTAATAGTATAACTTATAGATATTTATTTTCAACCGATATTGGTACATATTACATATATTGTAATATCTGAACTTCATCACAGAAGTGAAATGTTTTCTTTATTCTAGTTCTTTTAAAAATCAGATTAGGTTCTTTGGAATTCTTAGAATTATAATCTACTAATATTGGGGGCTCTGAATTTTATTTTGGTCACTGTGTTAAACTATCTTATAAAACTTTCTAGTGACTCACTGTTTATTACCCATTAGTGATGACTACTTTTTCTAAACGCCACAAGCATTATAATACTAATGTAATATCGTTACTTATTTATTAGGGTTCTCTCTGGTCTTGACTAATTAATTCTACTTACATATTCATTTTACCTATTACTATATTTTCTTGAAAATTCTTACATATATCAAATTTAGAGTAGCGACATTGCGAGTGAAATGAAAAATTTTGCATATGACGTGTGAGGTAATGGTATATTGTTTATTCATAATGAATGGATCACAATGAAGACGAAACACCTATTAAGTTATATAAATTCGTCTAGATAGATTTAGTCCATATCTTTCTTGCGAGGAATAAAGTAGCAAAACGGCAAAAATTCGCCAATTGAGATCAATGGAAACTTATCCACTGTTCTGCCATTGGAACCAACTAATCAACCATAGAGAGTAGGTAGAGCTTAATTTTAGTAGTCGTAATAGTAGCTTTATTTTAACAATATAAATAGATTATATAGTATTTATACAATTTTATATTAACTTTATTTATAAAATCAAATGAAACGATTAGGTTTATTGTTTATAGAATATTAATTTAATGGATTAATAACAAATACATAAGGTATAAGGATATAATCTGTTGGTTATAATAGAGACTCGAGAGCAAGAGGGCACCGCGATTTTAGTAGACTTTTTGTAGTACAACTGAATCCAGCTGAACATAAGACTTTTCGCTTTTCACATCAAGCTCTGATCACTGCTCCTTAAAAAGTTCCTAACAGCATATTAATATAAGACTACTTCCTCTTTATTCAAATTAAAGCCGGTCGGTCACAAAGTATACAAATTAAAGTAGTACTTTCTTTATTATTATTATTATTGTTAGGGGATATGGCACTGCAATCATCGGGTCTATTGTGCCCCCTTCTGGGTTTAGAGTAGGTTTTTAAGTCCTGTTGCGACAATAAAAAGTATTATAGAACCTACTTTACAGAGTTTTATTGCCTCTTCCGTAAGGATATACATTCCTAGGACACTATTTTGTATGTGCATTAGCGCAGAGCATTCTAACAGCACATGTGCAGCCGACTCCTCATTCTTTTCACGGAAACTACAGTTTGCATCCGTATGTATATCCAGTCTCGTAAGGTGGTATTTTAGATCACAATATTCTGTTAGGATTCCTGTGATGATTCTTTTTCTTTTGATAGGTTTGTACAATCCTGATATCTCTTATTGTTATAGGTACCAATTGTTTTAATCCTGGTATATTATCCTAGTAAGTACTTTCTTTAAAGCAAAGATAATATTTTCTCATCTCAAACAGAGTAATCTTATTGCGAAAGTAGAGGTAAGAAGCTTAAGAGGATAAAGAGGTAAAGGTGTTGCGAAAGATTAAGATATTGGGTATCTTATACTTGTTTAATTAAATTTTATTACAATTTTTTATCTTCTTAGTGTCAAAAGCTTAGTGCTTAAAATGGGCCACATCACTTTAAGACTATATTGCTAAATTTTGATTGAATTGGCTTCATTTTAATTGTACTTTTTTTTGTGGATTTAAATTTTTAAGTAGTAAAATCAATATTGTTATTTATTTAAACTGCTGAAAGTAGGTTTCAACAATTGAAATATTACAAAACAAAAAATGTATTTCTTCAAAACCGTAAACAATTTAAAGTCAAACATGGCCAAGAACAACGACAAAAGTAGTAAAAGGTTGTTGACTTTTTGCAATGATTGTTTGAATAGCGATTGCCAGTGGCACAAAACAACAATTCTTCAGTTAACGAAAAGTGCAAATATTGTAAATAAATAAGACATACAACAAAGTAGATACTTTATGTGAGTTAACAGGCAGGGAAAACTGTTGTTTAAATATACAAGCAACAGTAGTAGCAATAGTAGAGTTAAAGGTAGAGTTAAACGCCCAACATAAATTAAAAAATATTTAAAAACTTAATGAAAAGATTCTTTAGAGTAATTGTAAAAACTAAAAAGTTAATTGAAAAGAAAAACTTATTTAGTTATGGCATTACAGGTCTGGAACTTCTTGACCAGCATGAGCAATAAAGTTGTCAGAATATTGAAGAACAATGGACACAAAGACCACTGCAGAACAGTTAAGAACAGAAATAGCAAAACGCTGAATTCATTGCAAAGAACAATAATGCAAAACAGCTTGGGATTGTTGCATACTCACATACTTATTGGAAAAGTTCCTCTAACTACGCCACCATGCTACACACAAAAACCAAGTGGAACTTATTCATGCCGGTGGAATATAACAACGCACATAGAATTCTTGACATGTACTTAAGCAACGAAATGTTGTGGTGACAGTTGGCGGCATAATAATGCTACGTGTTGGCACTAAGTGTCACGTAGCAATTGCCTACAGTAACGTTCGGAATTGTGGTCAACAATGTGTTGTGGTTGCTGTTGGCTTATTTTGTTGATTATTTCAGTGGGCACAATCAGCAATTGAAAAGTTCATGCCCCAAAATAAACACAGGGAGTTGTGAAGTAACTAAGAAGCAGCAAACGTTTTGTTAGAATTGTGTCTAAGCCATTATGTATAATCAACACAAACAATCGGAAATGGAAATGTGTACCCAAACATCATTACTTCACTTTTTGTCTCTCAAATGGGAGCCCATGTTTTGTGTACCTCTGTATGTATCAAGAAAAACTTATCTTAATATGCATGCATGACCCTTATACTTGGTTTTGGTTCTGTGACCGGTAATTTAGAATTTAAATACCGGATATATTTATATTACAAGCACACAAGCACATTTCTATGATAATAGAGCGTACATTTTTCTATTAATTATTTTTAATTGACATTTTTTTCCATTTTTAAGTAATAAAATATTTAACAAGGGTTCTCCTTACATATGCAGCGGCCGTTCTTTGGTGTAAGTAATAAAAATAAATTGGCCAATAAATAATTGACATCAGCAATTTCTTAGTAAGTTGATTGCGTTTACATTTGTTGGGTGCAGACAGAACTTTTATCCTGAACGCCTTTTTTCAATGGAATCGCAACAAATTTATGTGATACAATTTGTTACACATGAATCAAGTGTCAATTCTGCAATCGAAATTAATGGCCAATTCCGCAAGGAGTATCTGTAGACTGAGCTTCACGTTCAAAATGTTAGTAGTAGGGTTAGTTTATGTTTCATATTAAAAGTTTATCAAATCCAATTAAAAATTTTGACAAGGTCTTAATTGGTGTACTTAATGAATTTACTATATATATGTAGACACAATAAATTACAATAAATATTTCATATTTGTCACTCCGAAGTTGTATGACATATGAAATACCTGTCCTTATAATCGTTAATATGGTAAGAAGAAAAGGTTCAGAATACTAGTAATAACAGAGATCAATTCACAAGTAAAAGGCTAAGTAATGCGAATGTTATTTGATACTAGATATTTACATAAAGAGGTTTTCGAACAGAAGTGAAACAACAACAAAAATTTATTTTTTTAAATTATTTTAATTAATTGAATTTTTGGCTGACCATACAGCTGTTTCGAGTATTGCCAAATACCCTTCATCAGTGGTCTTGGAAATAATTCTTGTATTTAATTATTCGTAAATTCGTAAATACTAGATATTCCTTTATAAATTAAAAAAAAAAATAATAATTATTAGTTAAGAACTAATTAACAATAATTATAATTAGTTTTTAATAATTACTTAAAAAGTTAATAAATAGGTACTAGTGTATAGAGAGCAGACAAAAATATATATAGACGAGACCTACATTTTATATTGCGAAATTTTCCATATAATTCTAGAATCAGTAAAAAATTTTAATTATTTGTAGAGTAGTTTTTAAGCAAACAGAAAGAAATCATTAATGGCATTTGCGAATGATCATATAAGAACCAAACTACCATATAACAAGTTGCCATCCAACATAAAGTTAAGTGTCACCAACTAAAGTGGCTCTGTGTTGTGTCAAAAATATTGTAGTCCAGAACTCACATCCTCGTCATGGACGTTTCACCAACTAAAGTGGCTTTGTGACGTGTGAAGAATATTGTAGTCCAGAATTGACATTCTCATCATGGACGGAAAACCGGAGGAACGAAGACCCGTTGGGAACCTTAAATAAACATTTGAGAATAAAGTTTCAGAGATAAAATAAGAAAAATAGTCTTAGGATCATATCCGATAGGTATGCTGTTTTGTCGACCACATTCGTTAAGTTGTCTTATTAAAAAGTTTTGCACAATCATGTGCTTTGTATTATCACAAAATATTGAAGCTACATTGAATCATGTGCTTAAAAATCATTGATTGACAATCAAAAATTGTGCTGAGGTACTGTTAACATTACATTTGCATTAATTCAACCCTTTTTAATAGATGTTTTGTATCGGAGATTAGTGAAATATCGTTTGATGTCGCTAAAAACAATCACATTTTTGAAAACAATCACAACATTGCATTTAAGACGGTTCATGGAGCA